GAGCATGTGCGCAGGGGTTTGGTGGGGATGTATGTGAAGATTAATTTAATTTGAATATTATTATTTAAAATTAAAATATTGAATTAACACGTGACTTTTGAAATTTTAAACTTAATATCTGAAAATTGAACTGATGCATACTTCATACTTGATATATGAATTTTTCCCTTCATACAAACCTAGTGGAAAATGGGTCAATGGATGATCAATTTCCACGGATTAGGTTAATGAGTTACATTGCACTTTGGAGGTGCACCCGAATAAGGTCGGCCCAAGTGGTTAAGCCTACACCATGATGCAGTCTTTGAGCTAGAAGCCAGAAAAAAATATATAACGGTAACGGCATAAATATATCCTCTTAACATTGTATTATTGATTATTAATGAAACAATACAATTAATAGAAAATTGGCTTCGTTGTGTATAGAATTTACCTTAATTGCTTATTGATAGAATATTCTTTTACCATTGAAAATTATCGAACTAAATTAGGGAAGCCATTTTCTTATTTTCTTATGACAATACGATCCACATACCAATTATACACAAATGACACATTTAACATACTATTATCATTCGATGCCATACAACAGATATGCTCAAATGGCACATTTGACATGTTAAACAAACATCTCATATGTCTCTTTCTTTTTTTTCGTCATGTCCAATTCAACATATCAAATATGCTATAAATAATCCGAGTAATTTATTTAGCGAGTTATTGCATTACTGTACATTAATATAGTGATTGAGCCCCTGAACATACTTGTAATTTCACTCAATAATTTTATGAAATCTAGCAGATCGACACATTTTTATCTGTCCCCATCATATAAGTTGAATTGCTGCTAATACTTACAGCTAACTTAGCTAGAACTAAAGAAGAATAGAAAGAAAAGGCAGTGCAACTGTCATAAATATCATTTTACTAAAATGTCCGTACGAATGCTTCAAGAAAATAAAACATCTGTAAAAGATATTTTCTTGATGTGAGACGAGTTCGAGAACTCAGCACTCCAACTTGACGCAAAACACAATATATCTGAGCGTCTTCAGCTTTCCTGCAGCAATTTGAAAGCTACTTGGTAAGTTACTCATTTTGGTAGTACGATAAAAATTACTCTTAAAA